AGAGAGAGAGAGCAAGAGAGAGGGGGGCCTGGCAGGAGGGAGTTTTTATAGCCCAAATCTAATGGGGCCTCTGGGTCTGCAAGCTGCCTTGTTGGCCCAAGGGAGGGTTAAGTGTTCAGCCTTGAGTGGGGTTGAATGTTCAGACTTGAGGCAAACAGGTGATAAAGGACCAGATAGAGGGGGGTTTGAGTGCATGGGCTATCTTGCAGCCAACATCTGTTCAGCCTGCCCTGCAGACAACACAGTTCAGCCTGCTCTGCACCCAACACTTCACTGTTAAGAAAGTCACAAGTCAGATGTGCCCTTCCTCGAAGCCTTCCCTGACTACCCTGGATCCACACCCCTCTCTTTCCTCCATTTCAGGCCTTTCCACAGTCACCAGCCAGGGATTAGCCCCAGATCCTCGTTAAGTGGTTCTGACATCAGAATAATAATCAACGAGAATAAAACCAGTCTGTGGGGAGCCATTTCTGACACGTGATTGGGTGGCTCCCGTTAAGGGTCTGAGGCATTCTGGCTGTGTCGGAACTTTCCCGGCCCTTTCCTGATGAGAGAGCCCATCCGTGTGGGGGTGTGCCTGACCACTGACCCCGGGGGCCCAATTACTGACCCTGACCTTGGAGTGCAGTCCCCCCTCAACCTTCATTGGATGGAATTCTCCCCTGAATCTCTTGTTCCCCAATAAAAAGCTACTCCAGGCGTGTTCACACTCTCTCTCTCCTGCTAGCCCTGAGTAATCCTTGCTGCCCTTCTGGGCAGTTAGAGGAGGGAACCAGAGAGGGGAGCTGTCTCGGACCTGGCAATATAAATAAGGTAACTGAGTCTGTGTGTTTTATTTTGATCTCTTCTAGCTAACTTTTATGCCAAGAACCTCATTAATGAAACCATTGCACTGGCCGTATGGTGGACCCATCTATATGTGTCACCATGTCATTTGAAAACCCCTTGGTGGAGAATCCCCAAAGCTGGAGGGTGTGTTGGTAGTTGGGTGTTTGGAGGCATCCCAGGGAGCAGGGGGTTGTCCTTCAGAGCAGCCAACACTGACGGGCAGCAGTACACCTGAGCTGCGGACATGTGTATGAGTGGGCAGGAGATAAGCAGTGCTGTCAAAAGTGAGGCCCTTCCCCCAAAAAATAAAAAAGTGAGGCCCAGTCACAAAGCATTAGGGGCAGCTGCCCAGCGAGAAACTAGGGCTCCCAGGCCTGCCACCCTGAGCGGAGTGCTGTGGGAGAGAGCAGGGTGCCTGGTCAGCTAATGATTAATGACTGACAGTTCCCCAGGGCCCATAGAGGGTGGCAACTCTGTCTGGGGAGGAGGGTGCAGGAAGGCTTCCCAGAGAGAGGTCATTTAGTGGGAGACTCAGGGAGTCTGCGGCAGGTTGGAGGATGCTGGCCAAGGTCTGGTGAGAGGAGAGGGATCCAGGCTGGAGGTAGGAGAGCAGAGCCCTCTGGGACCAGCAAGAGATCAGGGAGCTGGAGTGGCCAGCAGGTCCTGGGACCTCACCCCTGCCACTGTGTGTCACAATGTGTTTGGGTCGAGCCATCTGAGCTCCCAGCTGGTTTGTAGAGAGCTCCAGGTTTATTGGCTGCTTTCCAGAGACATCCCAGAGGCGCCTTAATCTCCATGACATGTCTCCCCAGCACAGAGAGGCTGGGCCCTTCTGGGAAGGCTTTCTGTGGGCAGTTAATCCAGCTGGGTGTGGATTCTTGTTAGCCTTACTCACCCTGGGGCTGATCTGACCCCTGCAGAGGGCTGGTCCTTTCCCAGATTGGTCTTTGAGGATGGAGCAAGTGACTTTCACACATACTGCCTTCCTCCTTCCCCTCCCCGCCCCTCCTGTCCAGATGTATCACTTATGGAAGTCAGGCCCGAGCACCCAAGGAACCACTCAGCTTCTGTGTGCAGAGCACTCACCTTGGGCCAGGCTGAGTATCGAACACTTTCACACACGCACCAGTGCCAGGGAGCCACACGAGTCACAGCCACAAGTGTTCACTGGATCCGTCAAGGGTCAGGGTTACAGAATTCAGGGCACAGGTTCTGGATCCGTGAGATTTATCTCAAATTAAGTAAGAGTTTAGAAAGTTTAAAATTAACTTCCTCAGTTGCACTAGTCACAATTTCAAGGGCTCAATAGACACTGTAACTAGTAGTGGTCACCATACTATATAGTGCAGTTACACAACATTTCTATGGTTACAGAAAGTTCTACTGAACCTTCTATGGTGGCACTGAGCTAAATTCAAATCACAGCTCCTCTTGGAAATTGTGTGACTTTTCCCAAACTAGTGAACCTCTCTGAACCCTTTCTTGCATCTATAAAAGCCCATATTTTTTACATTGTATCATACTCCCTCCTGCTTGAGGAGCAAAGTGTAATGTTGAAACCCCCAGGGAGTTCAAATTAAGTTTCCAAATTTGTTAGGACTCTTGTTAGCAAGTTACAGGAAATTAAACCAGGTGGAGCAGGTAAAAAGGGAATTTATAAGCAGGGCTGACTACATGCCCAGATGGACATGTGCAGGCACGGCCCAGGGTGTCTTTGTTCACAAAGCAGGAAAAAGTGCATTAAGCTACCACAGCTTCTTAACTTATCATGTTTTTTTAAATTTGCTATTTAATGTCATCCTTAAGTAAATAAAAGTAATATGTTAAATTGTTAGTATGAATTATTAGCATGAATTTTGCTGTTCATCTTTATATTATGCAATGTCAGTTTTAACCCAATTGTTATGGTTTGTGGGATGCCACCATGAATTATTTGAGCTCATTTAAGCGTCTTCACTCAGCCTTGAGCCGCGGAGATTTAGGTTGGCACTGCAAACTATTTTGTGACTCCTCCCACTTAATGGATTGCATCATGCCCATGACCACAGAGGTCTTTGTTTGGCTAGGGAGACACTCTTGTAGCTCCGGAGTTGGGGTTACTTATTGGAAACTGTACAGCCCACCTCCTACCTTATTTGGCAAAGAACATTCCATGGAAAACCTTTGATGCTTCCCCTGTAAAAATAAAGCAAGTGAGGGCTCTCTTGCTCTTTCCAATGTGAAACTTG